AGGACTTTCACATAATTAGAGATCAGGCATAACTAACGTCTTTTTCCCCCCCAAATTCCTATGCGTTTTTATTACATGTGCGGGTTAGGTAAAAGCCACATACTATAAAATTTACCTATCTTAACCATTTTTAAGTCTACAGTAAATACTATATGTATATGGTTGTACAACAGATCTCTAGAACTTTTCATCTTGCAAAGCAAACTATAGCCATTGAACAGTTTCCTTTTCCCTGCTTCCCTAGCCTGTTAAGAGAGTTTTTATGATGTGTGCTAAGTGAATTATAATAGTTGTGGGATTCCAGCTGAAGGAGAAACAATGTTCATTTTGATCCTTATCAGAATTTATCAGATAGATTCCAATTAAGTCATGGAGTGTTTTTTTTGTTTTTGTTTTTAATTTTTTAAACTCAAGAGATACAATTCTTAAATCTTTTTTTGGAGAGAGGGAGCTACTTTTATGTTCAGGTCTCTGGTTAATAAATGATTGGGAATTTCTTGCTAAATGAATGGAGACCGAATGGTATTTCTCAAATTTTCCTATGAAAGTAATGACATGGAAGAACATTTAGAGGAACCTGTTGCTGAACCAGAGCCCGATCCTGAACCAGAACCAGAGCAAGAACCTGTATCTGAAATCCAAGAGGAAAAGTCTGAGCCGGTATTAGAAGAAGCTGCTCCTGAGGATACTCAGAAGAGTTCTTCTCCAGCACCTGCAGACATAGCTCAAACAGTACAGGAAGACTTGAGGGTAGGGAACATGCTTAATTTTTATTCTATTTCTTGTTTATTTTTTAAAATCTCTCTTCTCCTTTATTAGTGTTTGGTTGACTTTTGTTAGATGCATTTTCATATTTTGGTGGTTCAGGGAGATTTCTTACATATTGAGCCTGCCTTAAATAAGAGGTATGGTGCCTATTGCTTTATAACATCAAAAATAACCACTCCTTCCCCCAAGGTATCTTGAATACCTTTTAGGCCAGAAATTTCAGGTGCCATTGTGTCACCATATCGGCAAGCCCTCGTCTTTTTAATATTTCATCTTTTACATTGTAAAATATGTTTGTTATTTAACAATACAAATGTATAACATCATTTTTAGAGAAATAACATGGCAGAATAGACTTTTTCCATGAAGTATAATTAAGGGTAGCTTTACAGTAAAAGTAGAAGCAAACTACTGCAATAACTGACTACTTTTCTAGCTGGACTACCTGATTTCAAGTTTTGGAGTTTTTCACAGTTATTCACCCATCAGGGTGATATGTTCACTGAACTCAGAATCTTTACATTTGATGCTCTGGAAAGGAATTTTTTTTTTCTTTTTTTTAGTGCTGTATTTGCAGGGTCAGGATTTTTTATAATGTCATTTGTTCAGTTAATTCAAGTACCTGCTCTGTGCTAGGCACTGTTCTAGGTGTGGATATTATATTGGTAAAACAGATAGGGCTCTTGCCCTCTGGCAGCTAATAGGTAAGTGGGAAAGAGAAACATTGAAATGGCTTTAGCTTGCAGGTAGAAAAGTAGCTTGGCTGGATTGAGAATGGATGACCAGTTAGGTGGCTCTTCTAGTAGTTACAGTGAGAGATGATGATGGCCTGGCTTAGAGTTGCGCCAGTGGAGGTGAAGAAGAGATAATTAGGCAGAATAACAGGTTCTGGCAATTCTTTGTTGTTTTTGAGATGAGGTTTGCTCTGTCGCCCATGCTGGAGTACAGCGACACAATCACAGCTCACTGTAGCCTTGAACTCCTGGGCTTGAGTG